ACACAAAGAAAACCTGGAATCTAAAACCACCTCATGAATTATTAGGGAGGCTAAAGAAAAATATTTTACATCCACACAGTCAATAGTTAAAGCTGTTTTCTTAGCTCTTAAAAATCATAGCTCATTATAGCCTGAAATACTATAAAAAGCTTCTTCCCCTTTAACTTTTTGTGCAGTTGGGAAAAAAAAATCATATATATACACAGTTAAAGGGAGGAGGTATAAAGTCACTTTAAACTTTTACTCTCATAGATTGTTTTTCAGGAAAGAAAACTTCAGCATTAACAGATTTCCTCAATAAAAAAAAAAAAAAATCAGTGCACTTAAAAGCCATATTTTCAGGAACAAAAAAAAAAGTATACTTAAGAAAAAATCAAAGCCAGTTCCACACACATGTAACATCTTGCAGTACTAAACTTACCTAGGTTATACTTCTTGCATCCAGAGTCACCTGGAAACATTACAAAGGATTATTTAACACTTTTGACAAGGACAGATGCGCAACAAATTTTTATGTATAAGCTGCTCCAGGATCTTACCATATGGCACACATAAAAGAATTCAAGGAAAGAGGGAAAACTGCAGGATATTTTAGCTTGGTTGAAAGCACACACAGGTACTTATTCCAAAAGAGCTGGCACAGAGTCAGGTGCTATCCCCTGTGCAAGACATTTTTCCCTACTGCGTGAATCTCCACTACTGATGCTTTAGAGAAGGTCCAGTGCTACTCAGTGATCCAGCTGGTCAGTTGAAGGATTATATAAAAGACTGCAGCTGATAGAAAGTGGTGAAGGACAAATAAATAAAAGTAAGTCAATCCTGTTCCAGAGATCTACATCATACATCACACTGAATTAATGGCAAAGACATGGATGTATTCAGCCCAGTGCAACACCATCCACGCAGGAGAAACAAGGCTTGTTTCATACTTAAAAAATGAGGAATTCTATTTGGAAATGGAGCAAAACAAAACAAAACCTCCTAAGACAGAGTGAATTCTCAAAAGTGTATAGAAACCCAGCAAGGTGGAACTGGCTTCCCAAGCAAAAACATCTCATGGATATTTAATATGTCAAAACAGAGCAGGAGAGAGAACAGGCTGCTGCATCAATACCCAGCCTTGGTGAGATTCTTGATGATGTATTTACTAAGTTCTATTTTCATCCTAAAGGAGAAAAGTTAATGAACATCGATGATGCCTGAAAGCCCACTCTTAAAAAGAAAAATAATGCCTTTGTTCTCAAAATTGTTCTTATGAGCCTAAGACCCAGAATAAAAAAATTCATAGAAACTCGTAATTAGTAACACATATGAAGAATGGTACAAAAGTCATTCAATATTATTAAGTAGTCATATGTACTGTATTCTAAATTAATTACTCAAGGACTATCTATTTGTCATTGAGGAGAGCTAATAAGACTATCTGACCAAGAGTGGAATGATGAACAAAAAGTGAGAGAAGATTGTATTGGATTAAATTACAGAAAATCACACAGAAGTTCTGAGATGATGAAATAAATAATTGAGGATTTTCACCTACAATAGTCTTCAGTTCTGACAAACTTGCCTCTGTGATAAAAACCAAAAGGTCTCAGAAAATGGAAAGAGCTCAGAGGTGTAAGAAAAATATTGAGTCTTGATTAAACTGAATGTTTCAAGATGCTTAAGACATCCAAAAGGAATTAAGTGGATAAAGAGAGAAAGGCACTAACTGTACAAAATTTGCATAGAGAAGTTCAGCTAGGTCTTCTCACCCTTTGGCAAAAGACTAGGCTGTACCATAGTAACCAAAGCCTTAAGAAAAACAAAGGTTTTAGTCAAACAAATTAAATGGCAACATAATCAGAGTTCATAAAAGTGAGCACTTTCAGCAGCACTTATATAGTTCACAAATGCATGGCCCATTGTTTGGCCCAAACCTGGGTAAATGGATAGATTGGTAGGTTTTCATATAAAATTATATCACTCACCAATCACATAAGTGTACATAAAAAGTTCAAGAACAGAAGCCACTTATCCAAGTTTCTTATGTTGGAAAAACTTTATTCCTAAAAGTTCTGTCAGAGTTTCAATGACAACTCCCAGTAATGCTTCCCTAGTAGCACCTTCCAAAGGACCTCCTGATAAGCTGCCTATTGAAGACAACTACTGACTTGAAACAATCTACAAATCCGTAAAGAGCTGTTAAATGCCTCTATCCAGAACAAAAAAGTGCCTCTTAATCACTCACAGCTCTAAACCCAGGAACAGATTACAGAACATACTAACTTCGTTCTTTTCCCACCCTGATTTTTCCCCACCACCCTAAAACTGTCAGTGAATAGTGCTAAATAGAACAAGACCATAAGCCACTTAGCTGTCCAAACCAAAATGAAGAGGGAATAGAAAGGTGTCAGGCTGTGGCAACGCCTCCGGTACTGTGATATACACTACAGTAACATTACCAGCACTGTCCAAGCATCCAAGCCAATGGACCAAAAGCCTAAAATTCACCACATGGTATCACCTTAGTATGTCTTCAGTCACCTCTAGCCACTTTTTCCAGCACCATCTTAAGCTTGCCAGGACAGGAAGGAACAACTATTGTTCCTATCTGCTGATCATAGCCAAACTCGCCAGGAAACACCAGAAAAATGAGTTTTTGCACGCCCCAGGCCCTGCTGCTTGTCCTCCCAGCAGCGAGTGGGGATGAGCCCGAGGGCGGCCAGGGGAGGCCAGCCCAGCTCCCCGGCACCCGCGCCACGGGCACGTCCTCCACATCCTCACCAGGGAAAAGGCACCGAGGAGCCAGCGCTCCCGCTCCTTCCAGCCACCACAGGGGATCCCACCACCCTAACAGCGCCATGTCCATGACACCGGGCACCGTGACGGGACCATCCATCCACCTGCTCGCTGGGTCATCGCCACCACGGCGATGTCCGCCTGCCTCCTTGCGCCATCACCACCATCACTGCAGGTGGGACGACGCCGCCGCGGCCGTGCTGGAGCCCTGTGCTGGGAGGTCGGGAGCAGCGAGGGCGATGGTGACGGCACCCCGGAGAGGGCACCCCGGGGAGGACACCCCGGAAAGGACACCCCGAGCCAGGGCCGTGGCGGAAGGGCAGCGGAGGCGCCCCCGCTCCCGGCGGCCTCGATGGCGCGGGACCATGTGCCGGGGGCATGGCGGGGCGGCCGGGCGGGGGGCGGCGGGGCCGGTGCGGGTGGCGGGGGCGGGGAGGTGGAGCCTGGCTGCGGGACCGCCGCTTCCCTCCCCCGTCGGGCGCTCACCTGGCGGGGCCGCCCCTCGCCAGGGGGCCGGTTCCACGCGGGGCTCGGGGCTCCCCCCCCCCCCCCCCCCCGG